TATTTGAACGACAAACATTTTAACGCTTTTCGGCAGTGAATATTTGGTATTTGGTGTGAAATTATGTAAGACGTGGGTGTTAGGATAATTCTAGGTTTATTAAGACATTTTTTATGGTTTATTTGTGTTTAACTGGTAACTTCTATAATATGGCTATAATGACATATTTTTCATTCTTACATAACATGTATAATCATTAAACATGGTACATAACACGTAAATGGTACATAAAACAAGAAACGTAGATTATGCCTCCGTATCCTTCATAACCATACAGAAGACCAGACTAATACATAACACCATGCCTAATACATAATACAAACACATCTGCCTATGCCTTAAAGATGCTATGCATAGGTCCTAAAAACAGACGCGTGGAACAACTACAGAACGCACAAAAGAAACATGAAGTAACCATAAAACAAACATAATAGTAAATGAAAGTTAAACGCACAACCAACAACTAACATACTAAGACACCACTTAAACAAGAACAAACATAGAAGGGGAGGATGTAGTGACGAGGTTAATTCCATGGCCAATTATGCGTGTAATCCATAGGAGTGACAGAACATGCAGTGGATGTAGAATTTTCTTCCAACTCATGTGCACCGTGAGTGGAGTTGTCGTTTCTGGGGTGATTCACGGAGCCATCATTAGACCTGGTTTGACTATGTATGGATTGCTTCAGTTTAGGGGCCTTCGAACTGCTACCCATATAAAAAGTCGGGCGCGGTGGTTGTTTCTTACGGGGGATGTCCGTTCAAACAGGGTAGGGCACTAACTTACTAGGTGGCACACGCTTTGGAGTGTAGTCCTCAACATGTATAACTTCAACATCTTTGACAGAAGTTTTAACTTTTTTCTTGTTGTCTTCAGTGTCGCTGTCAGAAATATAACACCACTCGAATGGATTTATGTACGGTGGCTCCACGTGAAACAACTCGACAATTCTGTTATGCAGTGGATCACCTTCTGTCATGTACGCGATGGCAAAATCATCCCACTATGTAAAAAAAAAAAAATTAGTTCGTACATTTATCGTTCCTTGGTGTAAGAAAGGAAATGTAAATCATTGAGAAAACTCACATTAAACAATTGATACCAAGTTTTGTCTGAAGCATGGTACTTGTTATGCTCGACGTCGTATTGAACACCATCCTTGTCTTTCAGCTCTGTGAAGATATCATGTCGTTTGGCATACATTCCAATGCGGGTACCGATGTACTCTACCGTGAAACTCTTGGAAAACCACGCATTGAATGCGTTTGTAGCACCAAGTATGGACTCACTATTATCTGCAAAAGGAACAAATATACCACACAACTTATTCTCAAGTAAATAGTCGATTAGAAACTCATCAAACTTTGGTGTCCAATGTAGGTCGTACAGATAGTTGGCCTGCACTACACCAAAATCAGGAGCCATCGACTTTAGTAACAATAGCAGATATTTGTGGTTTACTTCCTTTTTACGTTTTGTGGATTTCTTTGTTGTGAAGTGTGTGGTTTAAATAGGGAAGTATGAACGTCCAGTATGCTTAATGACGCACATGGCAAACCAAGTGATGTCTAGTCAATTCAGACATGCAGTGAATTCTAATCAACTCAGCTTTGCAACAAAAGACTGATACCTACTTGTAGGCCTGCAACGATTGGTCATATCATGTCATATAGTCGTGAAACACTTTAGTTCAATCAACCTCAGCTATAAAGAAAAGCTAAACTTGAAAAAGCATAAGCCTACCTATAGACTTGAAGTGAGTTGTCATTTAACGTCATATCAGGTAATGGGCAATTCAGCCTGTTTGACCAACAATGCATGTATTTAATTTAAATTGAAAGCTGATATTGCAATATAGTTATGCATACAATAATGTCATTAATTCAAAAGTACAAAGTAGTTATACAAAAGATCAGTCCAAACACAAAAGAAAATTTTACAAAGTGGACTTCAATCAAAGAATGTCATCATAGTTCGTTTTACTTAGCCGGGATTATTTCCCTTGTTAAGTGTGTCGTTTAAATAGAGAGGTATCATGCTTCATTATCAGTAATGCTTCACATGGCAAAAGATAGAAATCATGGTTGGCAAGTAAGTGATTTCTAATCAGTTCAGGCATGCAGTGATTGGTCATATCATGTCTCTTACTTTGTGAATATTTTGACCAACTAAAGTGGCAGACGCATGCACCCACACACTGCTAACAACCCGGGGGGAAAAAAAGCATAAGCCTAACTATAGACCTGACGTGATTTGTCATAGCACGTCGTGTCAAATATAAAACTTTTGACCATGAAGTAAACAACCCCTCACTGGCCAATTTCATCCCTTATTACCAATCATATAATCATTTTAAATTGAAAAGACGAATGCATAGTAAGCCATCATTAATACCATACAACAGTACAAAGTAGATTTGCAAAATATCAGTTATTACACACAAAATAAGTGGACGACCGTTTAAGAACATCATCATAGTTTACTCTACCCAACCTTACTTAAAAAACAAAAGACTAATAACAAAGAAAACCATGCACCAAAGTGTAGATTTCATATATTTGAGTTTCTTCTCCAAACTCTCAACTTTACGGACAACATCATCAAGGCTCACCTGCACATTTTTTGGTTGCTTCAATCTCCAAATTAAGGCCCATCACTTTATTCTCATTTTCCAACGCTTTTTTCTCGGAAGATTTTAAGTCCAACCGCTCTGATAGCAATTTCTCCATTACATTTTTGCACAAGATTTGCTCCTGCAACCGGTCCTTTTCAGCCTTAAGCTTGTTAAAACAACCCTTTTGGAACGGCGGCAACTCGGGATCAATCCATACAAACAGGTTACAAGCCTTTTCAGCGTCATTGAACTATGAAAATCAAAATAATTCAGAGGCCAAACTTCATGTCAGATACATTTTTAGAAAAGAAAAACACTACATAGCCAACACCACCGGATGCAACCAACAAAGGTGGTTTAACCACCTAAAAAAATCTCATTTTCAAACTGAAATAACCCTGAACACATGCATAACCAATATCAAGGCAAATAAAATTTTCAAGCCCCCCGAATACAGATGCACAAGAACACAATGACCGATAAATCAGGGATAAAATTGCATCTCATATAAAAAATACCAACAAGACTCAATCAAATACCACCACTGTAAAATGCACTTTCCAAATTTGTATTGCACACATTAATAAAACAAATAGCCACTGGCATGCTTGCTATAATTCTACAAACAACTTTAAAGGGTAGTGAGATAAAAATTTAACCTTCCTGCGAGGACATCTGCAGAACCTTCGAGCTGGGTTGTCACTCGTCATTGATGTGAACACATCAACTGCGTCGCCACAATCACATAGCCTAATCTCAAACGGACTACTAGAGGATCGACTATATCGATTGCTTGAACTCGTTTGAGAAGTATTTGACATCTTGTTTGGCTAAGAATGTGAAAATTAATAACGTACGGTTCATTTCAATCAGGACAAGAAGATTAACATAAAACAAGTTGTGTTTAAAAAAAGAACCATTTCAGTTTCTAACAAATTAGAAAAACCATCTGGCTATTGGTGCCCTGGTGCCCTTTTGCTACTGAACAAAGAAATCATTCAAAGAATTCATAGTAATAAAGCATTATTGTTAAAATTTGGACATAACATAAACCTTTGATGGTAATCAAATTCTTAAAAAGCTGAAATGACATGACATATATGTATACAAATCACCGTTGTAGCTGGCGATAAGAAAAATAACTTAAAAGCAAGGTGTAAAAAAAAAAAAAAAGAACAATTTCACTTTCTAACAAATTATGAAAACCAACTGCATTGAGGGAAGCAATTTACACTAACCTAACAATACTTAAAATTAAGCACATTTTCAGCACAAATATAGAATATAACAGAATCTTCAAACTTAAAATTAAGCACATTTTC